GGATTCATCTCCATGCTCATACACAGGGACCAAGTGGGCTTTGTGCCAGCCAGACACTCTGCGGACAATACCAGGAGGTCTATTGACCAGATCGACCTGATTAACAGAACTTCATTCCCTGCTAAATTGCTGACTTTGGATGCTAAAAAAGCTTTTGATCACCTTAACTTGCCCTACATGTTTATGGTCTTGGAGAAATATGGTTTCCGGGGCCCATTTGTGGCAGCTGCTTGAAAAAGGAGCGCACTTCCGCCTTCCACGGCCAGTGCATGCTCCGAAACACGTTGCAGTGCACCCTGGGATCTGACGTCATCACGGCCACGCCGCCGCTATGTTCCAGCGTGCATTCCATCCGGCTCTGAGGGAGGACGTGCACGACAGCTGGCCTCACCACTGTTCCCCTCCAGCAACCACGCTGTTCCAGCCGAGAGCTGACCTCCCCACATCGCAGTAAGATGACGGCTCTTCACCCGCGTTACCACCCCACCGTTAACTATTGTTAACCACGGTTTTTAAGCTTATGATTACTTCACACATGTGAGTGTTTCTACATTTACACTTGAATTAAAAGACTTTTTGCACTTAGAGGCACTTAGAGGCACTTCTCTCGTTTTCTCACCTTGGTTTTTCTTTACCTTTATTTCTCTTTAAAATGTCATGTATGTATATACATGTGAAAAATTTTATAAAAATGTTAATCACAAAAAAGAAACCAGATAGCCATCAGTACATCAGGATTGATACATTTTCAGATATATAACATATTTTATGGACTCTATAACCTTCTTGCCAACTAAATAATAAACACAGATTTGGATTATTTGCACCAAAGAAATGCAGCAGAAATTTAGAACAGGAATGTAGAAAAACGCATTTTTTAAAAAAAAAAATCTGTATTTTTTTTTTATATTACAAAAAATATAAAACCCAGTGGTGATTAAATATCCCCAAAAGAAATCTCTATTTTTGTGAAAAAATTATAAAAATTCAGTATAGGTACAATGTTGCATGACCGCGCAATCGTCATTCAAAGTGCAACATTGAAAATTGGCCTGGGCACGAAGGGGGTAAAAGCACCCAGTCTTGAGGTGATTAATTATAAAATGCAACAACAAAAACATGTTGCTGTTTAGAGTCTGGAGACAAGCAGCAGTTCCCAGAGACAGGCAGGCAGGGGCCAGAGAGAGGTGGGCAGGGGCAAGAGTGGTGGACAAGGGCCAGAGCAAGGCGGGGGCAGGGGCCAGAGAGAGGTGGACAGCCATGGTTGGGTCTCCGTTCATGTAGCACAGCAGGTTGATGGCTCTGTGTATGGCAGTGATCACAGAATATCCTGTAGAGGAATGAGGTTTCCTTTTACCCCAGAGATTTTAGTGTGTAAATTGGTCTCCATCCCTGCCAGGAGATCCTCTTCAGTCACTACAACCAGCACAGCCTGCAACCAGTCACTCATTGTTCTTTGGCTTCCAGGCCACCAATAATACAGGTCCATGTCACCTTCTGAAACAAGCTTCTGAAAAAAGGCTTCAGGTGCTGGCAGTGCAGTGATATACACTCACCGGCCACTTTATTAGGTACAACTTGCTACCCAGTGTGGTCTTCTGCTGCTGTAGCCCATCTGCTTCAAGGTTTAACGTGTTGTGCATTCAGAGATGATATTCTGCATACCTTGGGTGTACCAATGGTTATTTGAGTTACTGTTCCCTTTCTATCATCTTGAACCAGTCTGCCCATTCTCCTCTGACCTCTGACATCAACAAGGCATTTTTGTCCACACAACTGTTGCTCACGGGATATTTTCTCTTTTTCGGACCATTCTCTATAAACCCTAGAGATGGTTGTGCGTGAAAATCCCAGTAGATCAGCAATTTTTGAAATACTCAGACCAGCCTGTCTGCCACCAAACAACCATGCCACGTTCAAAGTCACTTAAATCCCCTTTCTTCACCATTCTTATACTCAGTTTGAACTTTAGTAAGTCGTCTTCACCATGTCTAGATGTCTAAATGCATTGAGTTGCTGCCATGTGATTGGCTGATTAGCAATTTGTGTTACCAAGCAATTGAACAGGTATACCTAATAAAGTGGCCGGTGAGTGTAATATCACAGAGATATAGCACGTTTTCCACAGATATTTAGGCTCCGTTCACACCAATCCGTTTTTTTAGGTGCTTTTTGCAGAAACACACTACAGTCCATTTAACATGGTTTCCTATGGAACATGTTCCCATCTATGCTTTTTTTTGAGCTGCTGCATTTTTGGAGAAGGCCAGGGACCTTTTTAAAAGCAAAAAGTGGCGTTTTTGCTACAATAGAGTTCAACGGAGAAGCTGCTGAAATGCATGGTAGTGCATTTTTGCCGCATTTTTATGCTGTCCAGCAACAAAAAAATTCCACTTTAACAAAAAATAAGAGCTGAACAAAGAGTAAACTGCGGGTAAAAAAGCGAGTAGAAAAACGCAGAACGAACTGTGAAAAACACTGACAAAAACAGACAAAAAGCAAACGGCATAGGTGTGAAGGAGGCCTTAAGCCTTACCCACTCTACTTCATGGGTGCCATGCTGGTCAGAGGTCTGACCCTTTAGGGGATTCATATAAGCTTTGCTCTCTGAAGAGATCATTTGACAGGCTGTGAGGAGGCATTACTATAATCTCTTGAATCCTGCACTAGCGTGCCGCAATAGCTTGCATTGCGGGGTGCTTGCAGAGTGGCCCCATGCACTTGAATGATACGTGATTGGTGGGTGCTATACCTGCTGAAAGCAACAGGGACTATAATTCCTACTGTGGGGGTGGTGGTAAAAGTGCAGTTCAACCATGAGGTTTTACCAGCTTCCCCTCCGCCCAAACCAACCAAGTCCTTATAGGCATCTGATGCTGGAATGAGAATTCCAGCACTTGGCAAAGGAATATAGGTGGGTCTGCAGGATCATGGAAATCCTTGAGAATTCTGGGACAGTCCCAGTGAAAACAGGGAGATTGGGAGGTATAGAGTAAGGTGAGTAAAAAAAGTACTTCAAAGATACTTTTTAAAAATTGTGAATGAGTGGGAGGGGAAAAATGTTTTTCCAGAAATGGGCTTCAAAGCGGTATTAAACCCAAAACCAAAATGTAATATATTGCGGCTTACCAACCATTAGATGTGGTGTCAGCATTTTTAATTTTTTTTAGCCTTTTTTTCCCTGTTTTCACCTGGTGATCTGGCCAGTTACACACTTTCTGTAGAGTAGCTCTACTCTGAATGAAGGAGCACAGGAGGCACAGCAGTATTTTTAATCTGAGGAGAGGGGAACGTTAGATGGATTAGCAGATTCAGATACACCATAGCTGGGTACACACAGGAAGTTTTTTGGGTTGAACCCCTCCAGGGGCGGACTGACCATTTGGAAACTCGGGCACTGCCTGAGGGCCCGGGGTCAGTAAGGGGCCCCATGAGATGCTCCCGGTACCTTTTTCATAGGCTTTTTTGAGTTTGGGCAAGGCCACAGGGGCCCCATGATCCCCTATTGCCCGGGGGCCCCATGAGTTGCCAGTCCGCCCCTGAACCCCACTGACAGTTGAAACGATAATGAATGTTTCACTACTAAAATACCGCATGACTTGATAATATAACTCATGCAATATTTCAGTAACTGAGTGGTATCTTACCGCATACTCAGATGCGGTAAGATACCACTCAGTAAATTGTTTGTATTCAAAGTTCAAGGTCGAACATTTCTGTAGGTTTGAATGTTCGACCAAAAACCAAACAGGGGGGTGTTTGGCCCATCACTAATGTCCAGTGGGGGTCAACAAAAGCGAAGATTTTCCTCTGGCTGTGGATTACAGAACCTAAACACAGCATCACATTGTTTTTTACCTGTCACCGGTGACTTGCAGCAAAAGCCTGTAAACAGTCCTGTGCATTCTTGACACATTCGCATCACATTTTCTGTGTGTTTTTCTAAAATTCAGACTGGAATCTAGCAAACGGTAAGCCAAAAAGACTAGATTTATGAAATAATTTGATGTGTTTGTCATGCTCTCACAGAAATAGCAAAGCATGATTGATGAAAAATGCAATCACAAGCAAAATATTTTTTTCCCTTTCTATAACTGTCTCTCTGGGGAGCATAAAACTATGGAAATCGATGCAAAGTGACTTTGTGAGACCGAACGTTTATTCTTTAAGGAAACATCACTTAAAAGCAGTAAATGTCTGTCATTACTGTTTTCTTTCTCTTTAAGTCAAGAAATTGCTTTTTCTTGACGGCCAGAAGAATGTTTCCTTTTCATTTTATGAAACTATGGGCAAAATAACAAATGCCATATATGATGCAGCCTGTCAATAGTGTCAACCCTTTCTTTGTTTTTCTGAGTATCCTCTCACCCCCCTCATCCCCTGGGACAACTACCTTTAATGGACCAAGCTGTCCAACAAACATGGCATTTAAAGGGTTGAAACAAACCATTAAACATTGACAGGGGTGATTACAATGATCAGCTTTTATTTCCTTGGCTAAAATCTTTTGACTTTAAAATGTTTGTAAACCATTACATATACCCAATGAGGCAACTGGCCTCAGGTGATACACAGAGATGAAACAAATCCTTCTACAATGGAGGAGCTCTTGTCCATAATAAGCATGGTATTGACACAGCCCCAGATGATTCACATTGGCTCACAATTGATATGATCCAAAAATATTTAGACAGTATAAAGGTGAATAAAGCACCTGGACAGGATGGCATACACCCACGGGTCCTTAAAGAATTGAGCTCTGTCATTTCAAAGCCATTGTTTCTAATTTTTAGGGACTCTTTAATGACTGGCATAATACCACTGGATTGGCGTAAGGCCAATGTGGTGCCAATATTTAAAAAGGGGTTAAAATCTTTACCAAGTAATTATAAACCTGTTAGTTTAACTTCTATAGTTGGGAAGATACTGGAGAGTTTAATAAAAAACCACATAAGTTCTTGCTGAAAAAAAATATTTTAAGCAACAGACAGCATGGATTCATGAAAGACAGAAGTTGTCAAACAAATCTGATTTATTTTTATGAGGAGGTGAGCAAAACCTTAGACAGAGGGGTGGCGGTGGACGTGGTATACAATAAAAGAGATTTTAGTGAGCGCTACCAAAAGAACAACAAAAAGTATATATATATATATATATATATGTAAATACATATATACACACATACATACACACATATATGTATATGTATTCAAATAAATAAGCAGCTGATACACCGAAAGGCAACCAAAAGAAAACCTCCAATAGTATATATGTTCAAATAAGTTGGTGCAGCGCTAAACAGTAATACATATTAATAAATATAGTGCCGTGCAATTTCAAATAAATGTGGATAGGTGATATCACCTTAAGGTGATTAATCGTGATATATAGTTCAAAATTAATCGTGTGGATCAATCAGAGATCACAATTCCAAAGTGTGTTGGACGTCCTGATCTGGGAGTGACAACAGGTGCAAGCCACACGAATGGGTGGACGTGGTATACTTGGACAGAGGGGTGGCGGTGGACGTGGTATACTTGGACAGAGGGGTGACGGTGGACTGGTATACTTGGACAGAGGGGTGGCGGTGGACGTGGTATACTTGGACAGAGGCTGGCGGTGGATGTGGTATACTTGGACAGAGGGGTGGTGGTGGACATGGCATACTTGGATTTTGCAAAAGCATTTGACACAGTTCCCCACACACATCTACAGGCTTGGAAAAATCTGTATGTAAATGAATAGAAAACTGGCTAAAAGATTGTATTCAGAGAGTAGTGGTTAATGATTCATACTCTGAATGGTCTGGGGTCATCAGTGGTGTACCTCAGGGTTCGGTGTTGGGACTCTTACTTTTTAATATATTTATAAACGATATAGGGTCTTGAATTAAAAATCCCATTTCAGTCTTTGCAGATGACACCAAGCTGTGCAGTGGAATAACGTCTTTACAGGATGTCTTCAATTTACAAGCCGACCTCAATGCACTGTTTAATTGGGCAACTATGTGCCAGATGAGGTTTAATGTTGATAAATGTAAGGTTCTGCACTTGGGGGCTAAGAATAGGCATGCATCATACATACTAGGGGGGGGATACAACTGGGGGAATCAATGGTGGAGAAGGATCTGGGAGTTCTGGTAGATCACAAGCTTAATAATGGCATGCAATGCCAAGCTGTGGTTTCTAAAGCGAGCAAAATCCTCTTTTGTATTAAAAGAGGTATAGATGCAAGAGAGCGAGATATCATATTACCCCGGTACAAATCATTAGTTATACCTCATCTGGAATATGCAGTTCAGTTTTGGGCACCAATTCTCAAAAAGAACACTGGGGAGCTGGAGAAAGTACAGAGAAAGGCAACCAAACTGATAAGAGGCTTGGAGGAGCTCAGGAAAGATTAGAGGAACTGAATTTATTCTCTCTTGAGAAGAGGAGATTAAGGGGGGGATATGATCAACATGTATAATACATAAGGGGGGATATGATCTCCATGTATATAATACATAAGGGGGGATATGATCTCCATGTATAATACATAAGGGGGGATATGATCTCCATGTATAATACATAAGGGGGGATATGACCAACATGTATAAATACATCAGTGGTTCATATAGTGAACTCGGTGTAGAGTTATTCACCCTGAGGTCATCACAGAGGACAAGGGGGCACTCTTTACGTCTGGAGGAAAAGAAATGTAATCTCCAAACACGGAAAGGTTTCTTCACATTCAGAGCTGTGAAAATGTGGAATAGACTCCCTCAAGAGTTGGTTCTGGCCAGCTCAGTGGATTGCTTTAAAAAAGGCCTGGATTATTTCTTAGATACACAGAATATAACTGGGATATAACATTTATAGGTAAAGTTGATCCAGGGAATTTCCGATTGCCTCTCGGGGGATCAGGAAGGAATTTTTTTTCCCAGTAGGAGCAAATTGGATCATGCTTTGCTGGTTTTTTTTCCTTCCTCTGGATCAACTGTGGATATAGGATTATAACTTTTTTTTTCTATGGTTGAACTGGATGGACGTTTGTCGTTTTTCAGCCAGAGTAACTATGTAACTATGTACATAAGTTGTACTTGTTTATCTTCAGTCTTCTCTTCTTTACAGCCATTCAAAGTACAGAATGTATAAAGCTTGCTTGAGCTTCTAGAAAGCAGGGGGCATAGAGCTGAAATCACACACTGCAGAGTTCAGTGAGGAGAACTGAGAGCTGATTAGAGGGAAGGGACACACCCCCCCCTCACAGAGGAACAGAGTTGAGGCTGCCAATCACAGGCTGTGTGCTGGAGGTACCTCCCCATCACTTTTTTTCTCTTGGCGTCAGGAAAACTTATCAGAAGTGATTCATGCTGACAATAGAGGAACATGGCAACAGACAGAAAGAGCATGCAGTTCTCTTAATTGAGACAAATAAACACTATAGAGGGATATGCTATTTTCTTATTTCAGGTCTGTCGTTTACAACCACTCTAATTTGTTATTCACTTATGTAAAGTCTATCAAAATCTACTACACCAACTAAAACTATCCTCTCCACAGGTTGACAATGCTGCTGTCCATGTGTGGCTATGCTGCTCCTCCATAGATGTAGTGGAAGAGCAAGTGTGACCACCCTAAGACAGGAAGTGTGTTTCCAGGTGGAAAAGAAAGAAGAAAAAAAAATAGAAGTCACAAGACTGCTCTAACTGCTGATGAGGAAAGGTATTTAGCAGTTTATATGTATTATTATTATTATACAGGATATATATAGCGCGAACAGTTTGCTCAGCGCTTTACAATATAACGGGAGACAATACAGCAACAATACAGTTCAATATAAGAGGGTTAGGAGGGCCCTGCTCCTTGAAATATTTACTAAAATAATTGCATTTCCATGTTTTATGTACTGTGAGAGGCTAGATATACTGAATGCAGGGCCCTGGGTTTAGTGACACTTTAATGAAGCCACCCTATTTAAGAAATGGTAATCTGCAATATTTTACATATTTCTTTTTGGGTATAGATCTGCTTCTGCAATTTGACATAAAAAAAAAACCCTGCTGAAGACTCCTAAACACTGCTAACCACTACTAAAAGCCGGTTTCCAGCATTTTTTTTTTCTTAGCAGCAGCCGCCAGTGTCCTTAGCAACCATTGAATAGGTGGTTGTCAAGGAGCAGGCCAGCAAGCCGGCCCCTGTGTCCTTAACGGATGATATATCAGCTGTCAGCCAGGTTCCCCACTGACAGCTGCATGAAAACAAAATAATTGCTGACAATGAAAATTTGAGAAAAAGAAAACAGTGCGGAGGTCCCCCCTTTGGCCCTTCAGGTCTGGTATGGATTTTGAAGGGAACACCATGCCAATTTTTTTTTAAAAATGGTGTGGGGGGGGGTCCCCCTCCAAAATCCTTACCAGACCCTTATCCAGGCATGCAGCCTGGCGGGCCAGGAAAAGGGAGGGGGGAAGAGTCAGTGCCACCCTCCCCACTGCTCTCCTGAACCATAACAGGCCACATGCCCTCAACATGGGGGGGGTGCTCACCCATGAGAATTAGCATGGAGTGCATTGTACCCCTACTTATTCACCGAAAAAAGTGTCAAAAATAAATAAAAACAGAGACAGTTTTCACAAGTTCTTAGAAAACAAAACAAAAAAACAATGCCTCCTTAATAAATCCAGCATCAAGTATGATGAATGCTGTTGCCGCCAACCCGAAAAAAAATAAAGAGGTCTCCACTCGATGTTGGCTACCACCCAGGGGTGGACTGACAACTCATGGGGCCCCTGGGCAATAGGGGATCATGGGGCCCTTGTGTCCTTGCCCACACTCAAACCACACCCAAAAAAGACTATGAAAGGTACCAGGGGCATCTCATGGGGCCCCCTACTGAACCCGGGCCCTCGGACATTGCCCGACTTCCCAAATGGTCAGTCCGCCCCTGCTCCCACCATCTGACAGCTCCAACGCCTTCCGCTGCTTAATAAACTAAAGCTGTCAGACGGCAGGCTGCTTGTTCGGATAAGGGTCTGGTATGGATCTTGGGGGGGGGGCATGCTGTTTTTTTTTTCTCAAATGTTCATTGCCGGCAATTCTTGTGTTCACATTCAGCTGTGAGTGTTTTTTATCCAGAGTTTTTGTCAGCTCCCTGTGTGCACTGAGCATAATGTGTCAGCTTACCAATTCTTAGATGCTGTGGCAGCATTTGTTTTATTTTTTGTGGGGTTTTTTTGTTTTTTGCCTTTATTTCCACCTGCGGATCCTGTCAGTGAGTCCATTATTTTTCAACAGACCAAGCTCTCCAGCGAAAGTGGAAGTTATGTGGTCAAACCATTTAACACTGACAGGGGTGGTCAGCTTCTATTCAGTTATGTGAAACTCTTATCCCAAAAGGGGAAAACGTTGCTGTAACTGTTTAAAAAGTATTAGCTTGAGTTTGGCTTTAACTTGTTAGTCAAGTCTATCTAAATTTGTCCAAAGGTTTCTCCATCGCTCCTTCATCCAGAGTGGATACACCGTAGCCTCCCTAGCAGTCTGATTATGTCCATATTTCTGTGCTCAAAGCGGTACATTTTATTGCATGCAAATATGTAGTTTTTTATTGTAGGCCTGTCATTTTTGGAATAACTCACTGAAATCTGTCCGAACAAGAGTCTAGTAAACATCCCGGGTAGGATAAAATTTTAAACACAAAATCATAAATTATAATTTAATAAATAATCATAAAAAATAATAATATAATAATAATAAATTTAATTCAATAATATAACCAAACCAAAAACACTGAAATTTGAAATATAGCGCCAAGTTCGCACATCGCTGAGCAAAGTCGCAAAATCGTTTTCAGTGTCTGATGACGAATTTCCCCACGAATCATTATCACTCAATTCTGCAAGTGGTTCTAATTTACTATCGCTGTTCTCTAGCTGGTCTAAAACCGCTTTTGACCTAAAGGGACGCTTTTTGGACACCATGGACATTTCTCAGTTTCCAGGCGATAAGAACAGTAAAAATGCAGGCAGGGCACAGGACAAAGCACTCGGGACAAAATGTATGTGAAATGGTTTGATTTTAGTGAATTTAGTGAATGTCACTTTTAAAATTTTCAAATTTCCCGCCAGTTCCGTCCCCATATGTCCTGACATAGCAGGGAACAGAACCCGGAAGACAGATGCCAGGGACATTGCCGGGGACACTGCAGGAGGGACACATCGCAGGAGCGCAGGACAAGGTAAGTGAAGAAGAGATCCCGGAGCAGCGCTGCAAGGTATTCCCGAGTGTAGCTCGGGGTTACTGCTTGTGGTGCTGAAACTTTACCCCGAGCTACACTCAGGAATAACTCCAGGGAGGTTAAGACAGAAAATGTGTTACTTGTTGGATTACCAGGTGGAAATAAAGGGAAAAAGCCTTAAAAAAGAAAAATAATGCAGCCATCATGTCTAAGAATTGGTGAGCTGCATTTTGTTTTTGGATTTAAGTGACTTCTGCCTGATCTATAGTCCAATGACAGTATAGCAGGGGCTTTCTAATTCTGGGTGGGTGTCATATCATGAATTACCAGTCTAGCACCTCATTTGCACCCTAGGGGGGCCGATCTGTAACCTAGTGTGTCCATCAGACACACCAGTTAACAGCTTGTTGTCCTAGGCTGGCCCCAATACCATGTTATTGCTGTGACCAATCACAACGATCACATGTCAAATGTACACAATTAATGGCTTTCATTTAAAGCCATTCATTGTGCATTATTGTGGTCTCTGTGATTGGTCACA